ACACAGAAAGTTATAATTTTTATCATAATATAGAATATAATGAACAACCAGAACTCAGATATATGTGAATTTAGGATCTAAATTTTGAAAAAGAAATTTGAGAAATATTTAAAAAAAAATTTTCTGGATCTTCTGGGAACTTAGAGGACTTACCAACAGCCCACTCCTAGGGTCTTACAAATGCCTCATCTTACCCTCCAGACAAATTCTCTTAAAATTTTTCTTAATTCTTTCAAACAGATATCAAGGGCACACCTGATTTCTCAGGCTTACAAATCCCAGGTTTTCACAAAAAGGAGTTCACGGTTCTAAATTATATTCGCATATGTTAAATAAAATAACTAAGGCATTCTAAGAACTACCAAAGAGAACTTAGCCAACCATTTCCATAGTAATACTTACAAATTATACTGATATAAGAACGAACGAGATTACAAGAGTGGAGAGAAAGTAGGAGAGCTTCTTCAGCGTTTCTTATCACTATATCTTCCTATATTTTTCACTGAAGAGAATGTCTCTATTTATAAAAGAAAACTAAAGAAAAGTCTAAACTACCCCTTCAGTCAAGAATAGTTAAAAACTATTCTTTTACTCTGTCTCAGGGTAATTTAAATAATTACATTTATTTTAAAGGTTTTTCTAGAAACCTTATCATTTTGTCGGCAGCAGAAAACGTCATTCTGTGCGTCATTATTTGGATAGCATGACTTCTTCATCGTCTTCTTCAGTGAGATGTATGTCAGAAGAGCCTGCCATTGATTGATTATCTGTGGGGGTTCGTTGTCCAAAGCCTCCACTTGCTTCATAAATTTCTTTGTGAATCTTTTCTCTTTGGAAGAATTGCACAAGTTTGTTGTTATTTTCTGTCGAAAATGGGACAAAGAATTTTCCATTTTCTGTGGGCAGATATAACTTTGTATCATGAGACTCTTTGATGAGATTGAAATTTGTTTCATCTTCTTGGGAGAAGAACCATTGATATCCCATTATCTGAGCTCTGAACAGATTATATTGGTAATCGGTGTTACCAACAACTTCCCAAGAATCATATTCATCGTTGAAGAGGATTCCAGGATAGTCTTTATGATTCTCCATTAGCAATTTCATAACATGTGTTGGAGGATGATTTGTTCGGAAATTGCTTGGACAGGTCACTATTTTTAAAGCCATATGGCACATAAAAATAGCTTGAAGTGTACTCACAGCTTCGTTTATGGAAGAACAAAAGCTGTTAAATTTTTCTGTTGGGTGAATCAAGACAGAATCTAAACATCCCAATTCCAACAAAGTTTTTAGGTTTATATTTAAACCTTCAAAAGAAGTTCCTTTAAAATTTTCTAAATCAATTTTTGCTTTTCTAAACAAAAATTTTATTTTACAAGGACACTTCCCATTTGTTATATCCTTACACAAAGGAGATTCTTCTAAACACACGAATTTTTGGTTAAAATAAGAGTGAGAAGAAACAAAAATTCCAGGGATAGCTTGTGAATCCACAAGATGAATTTTCATCAAAAAGTTTTGGATCACAATAAATTTTTTCAAACTGAGTTCATTTGATGAATTCGGCATTTGTTTAACAGTCTCTGAAAATGAGGACTGTCTGTTTGTTTGGTTTGTTCTGATGACATTTATTTCAGGTTCTGGATTCAGAGCCTTTTTTATTTTTGTTAAATCGATTGTATCTAAATCAAGAGCCTTATCAGCTTCTTCTTTAGAATAAAATCCTTTGTATCTGGGGTTTTGCAAACCTTCCTTGGCAGTGCACAAGTCAGTAAAGTTTGTATAAACTCCTTTGTATGGTCCTGTTAATAGGACAAAATGTGTAAAACCCTTCCCAGAAGGAGAGGCCTTTGTAAGGAGAGGAACTCCTTGATTATCTGTGATGCAGAAATTATACAAGGCACAGATAATTCCCTTCTTTATTGAACAAATGAACTGTTCATTGTTATCTGTGAATTTTGGAATATTCCAGATATTATCAATAATACAGTTGAATTTGTCATTTGTATTTCCCCTACCAGGATAGAGGAATTCATTTGTAAGTATTGGCAACTCTTGGTTACCAAACTTCATCTTTTGTTTAACTCCAGTGTATGAAACCTTAGAAGGTTTCATGCTTTGTTGTTCCTGCAAAACGAGATAAAATATCAGCAGCAACATTTTTGTTGCCTTTAATATGTTCAAAGACAATTTGTATCCCATTATGGTATACATACTCTTGGAATAATAACCATCTTTTATGGGGTTTTTTGTCTGAATTTATATGAGAATTTCCATAAGCAACAATTGCTTCACAATCTGTTCTTATAGTAATTTCCTTTTTATTTATCAAAAATAGTTCAAAAGTTTTTAAACTATTAATAACTGCATTAACCTCATAATCAGTAGAAGTACTATATATCTGAGGTTTTGTATGGTATTTCCCTGAAGCATATCTACAGATTTGTTCTTCAGAAATACTATCATATTTATTTTTCTTTTTCTTTAGGATTGCGCCCCATCCTAGTTCACATCCATCACATTCTATGACCAAATAGTCAGAATCTAATGGAAGAGATAGAGTAGGTAAACTTTTTACCATTTCTTTGATTTGTTTGACCAATTTTATGTCTTCAGAATTAAATTTTCTTTGGCCAGTAAGACTTGTTTTATTATACAGGGGAGCTGTATATTTGCCTAAGTCTTTTATAAAATTTCTTGCATAGTTTAGCAAACCTAAGAAAGCTCTCAAGGTTTTAACATTTTCCATGATATCAGGAAACGCAAGAATTTTTTGTGATATATGAGGTTGGAGCTTTATAGTTCCATTCCCTAATTCTGATCCTAGGAAAGATATGTGTGTCTTACAAATTTCCATTTTGGATTTAGAAATTATGAGACCAAATTTTTCAAATAAATGAAGAACTTGTTTTAGATGAAGGAAGTGTTCTTCTTTTGTTTTTGAAAATACTAGTACATCATCAATATATGTACAGGTAAAATCTTTGTATTCTCCAAAAATATTATCCATTTTTCTTTGGAAAATCGAAGGAGCATTTTTAAGACCAAAAGGCATAACCTTCCATTCAAATAATCCTTCAGAACAGGAGAAAGCGGTCCATTTTATTGAATCAGGGTGCATCTTAACTTGATGAAATCCTGATTTTAGATCAAATTTGCATTAGGCCCAATTAGACCCAGAGGCAAGCAACGCCTTGCCAATTTTCAGAATAATAAATTAAATTAATTATAACTTAAATTTTTTAAATAATTAAAATTATTTTGTATTTAAAAAAACATAAAATTTATGTAAACCAAAACAATACGAATGATCATTAAATTGATGAATATCGATTACTTTAAAATTTTGATTTTTTTCAATTAATATAAATGGGATTTTATAAAAATTAAAATTTAATATCTTATCCCACACGATGAAGAGCGCCTGCAATAAACGGTGGCGTTTGAGGTTGCGCGGGTTGGAACCAATTCAAATTCTGAGAAGCCTGGTGGGGTCCGAAAATGGGCGAAAACCGAAAACGAGAATGGTCCCTGAGCGACTTCGAGATCGGGAAGCCTCTGGGCAAAGGGAAATTCGGCAGAGTGTACGTGGCCAGAGAAGTGAAGGTTTGATTTCCCTCTGAAATTTCAAATATTAGGTTTTGAATTGGGTTTATGAATTTGCAAGTTATTTGTGGGCAGAGCAAATTTGTGGTTGCATTGAAAGTTATTTTCAAGGAACAGCTGGAGAAGTACAGAATTCATCATCAAGTGAGGAGGGAGATGGAGATTCAGATGAGTCTTCAGCATCCCAACGTTCTTCGTCTCTATGGTTGGTTTCATGACTCTGAGCGCGTCTTTTTGATTCTCGAATATGCTCACAATGGCGAGCTTTACAAGGAACTCAGCAAAAAGGGTCACTTTAGTGAGAACCAAGCTGCCACGGTAATCCTTTCTTACTCTCAATGTCTTCCTATCTTCCATTATCTTCACTCTTATCTTTCTTTCCTTTTTTACTTTTAGTATATTTTAAGCCTTACAAAGGCTTTGGCATATTGTCACCAGAAGCATGTTATTCACAGAGATATCAAGCCTGAAAACTTGTTGCTCGACCATCAGGTATGCCTTTTCTTCTTCCTTTCCCCTTTGCTATTTTGTTTCAGTTAGTTTCATAATCCCTTGCTTTCAGGGTCGTCTTAAGATCGCAGACTTTGGTTGGTCAGTACAATCAAGAAGCAAAAGGCATACCATGTGTGGAACCTTGGATTATTTAGCACCCGAAATGGTAGAAAACAAAGCTCATGATTACGCAGTTGATAACTGGACTCTGGGTATCCTTTGTTATGAGTTCCTTTATGGTGCTCCTCCATTTGAGGCTGAGACTCAATCTGATACCTTCAAAAGGTATGTTAGTGCATGAGACTTGTGTATGCAGAGTAGTTTATCACAACATAAATGTCCCTTTTACAATGAATTTATATTTGTTCAGGATAATGAAGGTTGACCTAAGCTTCCCTTCCACTCCTTTTGTTTCTTCAGAAGCCAAACATCTTATTAGTCGGGTAAGTTCGTTCTTATCTACATATTCATATGCTTGCAAAAACATATCATTTTAGAGAAGAGAATAATAGATTAGGTCCTTCTTCTAACTGCATTATGTTAATTGATGCAGCTTCTGGTAAAAGACTCTTCACAAAGACTCTCACTTCAGAGGATAATGGAACATCCTTGGATAATCAAGAATGCAAATCCCATGGGTGTCTGCAATTAGTATCGACTGTTTACCTGTGGAACAAAAGGATCAGAGCTGAATTTTACATCTGATATTGCAATGTGATGAAATGTTTGCTTTTTGTTTAAATACTAAAGTATTATAATCACCGTTTGAGCTGCATGTCCAAAATCTGATTCTTCCCCTTCTGATGTCATTGCGCTGAAGAGGCCATTGACTTTCTAGCACTTGCCTTTTCATTTAATTTAAACCTTTTGTTGTTGATATTAATTTTGATTTCTAAATTCTAATAATTTATGATAATTGTAATTAATACAGCAGGAAGATCATTTTCAAATAAAAAATTATATCTCTTCCTAAACCTGCAAAGTACAAGTATATATAGAGAACTTTCCACACTTAGTTGAAAACACTTCTTTAAATAAAAAGCAACATAAAAACCATTTGCATTGAGTTGTTCATAGGCATAAATATAATCCAGCAATAATTAAATAAAATCAATTAGTGAACATACCCTTCAGTGTCAAGGTTGCCACAAAGAGACTCAAATCGTGGATCGCGTACAACCTAAACATTATTGAAGGTACACATAACTTACAATAATATCCACATCTATAAAATGAATAATTCATTAATCATATGAAATTCAACATAACTACCACACCAAATAGCACAAGCACTGAAATTTTAAAACTTCTAATATGTATTTGCATAGCTTAAGACATTGCAATAATTCATTTAACCCAGCTCATATCCAGAATCTACACACATGAAATGAACCCAAAGTCTTAATAATGTGTCAGAATGTGTGTGCACATGTAAAATGTAAAGCAAACAATAAACAACAGACAACAACTGGTCTCCCACCTCTGTATAAGTCAGCAAATGGCTTTACACTGTAGGGATAAAATATTAGAATGATTTGCCTGCTACAGGGCCTCATTAGACATTGAGGAGTTAAACTACTCAATGCGTCAAACAATTCAACAAAAAGCAGTAACATAGAATGAATTTTAAAAAATAAACAGAACATTAAACTGTACAAGTAACAAATAAATCAACCTTCTTTGGAGCTTGGATGACCTCTCTAAAAGCAGAAACCGGCTTCTTGCAACTAGCCTCCATTGGCCTAGGCAAACATTACACATTTATTTGCATGTGGTTTCATGGACACAACACAAGAATAAGAAAACCACTCTAGTAAACTGTTACAAAATACAATACCTGTTCTTGTTAGCCCTTTTTAATTTTTTGTCCTCTCTGGGTTTCTGCAAAAATGCATGTGCCCCATTTGAGCGTGCTTTCTGCAACTCCTCAAACGTTACATCAGCCAGCTCCTTCTCTATCTCCTCCTCCTCCTCCTCCTATAATCATCAAAATCAATCACACTTCACACTCACTATGAACTTGGTTTCAAAGCAACCCCAAAAGAAAAACCTATAAAAACCGCGACTTTATGGTATTTATAAAGTTACCCACGTCTTCTGAGGAACTATAAGAAGAAGAAGACTCGTCTGTCTCACTCTCTTGATACTGTAGCTCCATGGAGTCACGGAATCTGATTTTTTGCTCCTTCAATTTTACGTTATGTACACAGAAAAATAGAATCAATTTTATTGTTACAAGAATGTTGAAATTGAAAATACACGAATTAATCGTTGGAATACCTCAGTCATGTGTTTCCGGTGCAACAAGGCCGCAGCTCAAAACGATGGCAGTATCGCTGATTTGATGGTGAATGCCAAAAATTGAAAAGAACCCTAACACCACGGATCAAAACGACAACGGCTTGTGACGAGGGAACTGACAAAGCACCACTTCAAGGATACCAAAACAAGGAAAATATTTTCCGGCCACAAATTATTTTTTAAAAAATATATAAAAACTTGGATATAATTTTGTCCAAAATTTGGAGCTATGTAAATAAGGGACATAGATTGATTAAGATCTACTTCTATGATCCCTATTACAGCTTGTGAATTATTATCCCTAAATCTTCGATCAAACAAGACTAGGAATGCTTTAGCTCCAATAAAAGATCGGGTTAGGGTTCTAATTCCTATTGTGATTAGCCCTAAATGAACATATCTTCTATTGGTTCTTAGAAGTTGTCTTCCAGTGTCTTCAGAGATTAAACTGATAATCTCATGATGACCGTCTGGTAGATGAAAGTCATCTAATCTTCTATACCTATAAAGACTGGTTCTATCTGAACTAAGCCAATTTAGGTTGTATAATTGTCTAGGATTTAAAGAATCTATCCTAGAATTTGTTCCAATTTCTATATTGGTTTGTATATCAACTATTTGTTCTAGTTGTCTTGTATTAGAATTTCTTCTTCGAAGAAATCTATCTAATATTCCAGGTTGGTGGTTAATAGCTTCGGCTATAGGTGTATGTCCTGAAATGGTTTGTGATGGTCCTGTAAAAGGAACAGTTTGTGTTTGGGTTGTAGAACTCATTTTCTTGGTTTGGCAAGAATATAAGTATTTGTTTTAGGTTTTGTTTGTTTTCCTAAACTGAGTTTAGAAAGTTGGTTTGAGATTTTATCTAGTTCTCCGTTTATTGGTTGTTTTGTTTTGATTAAAACTAATGTTTTATCAAGTTTATCTTCCAACTCTTTAATCTTATTAAAAATAAGATTTTGAGTTTTTTGTATACTCTCAATATGTTCGAGAAGTATATCAATATCTCTTCTGGTGGCCAGATCTTTTGTCGCTCTGATACCAGCAAAAACTGGTACCTAATAAAAAGGAAATACAAAAAATATGATATTAACATAAAATTCCCATTTTAATCGAAATCAAACCATTTTTATATGAGTTAATCACTTATACACTATTAGTATAAAAAAAAGTTTACATTGACAATCAATTATATTTTTTAATTGTGTGATGTCACTATAAACATATTTATTTTTAATGGTGATATGACACAATTAAAAATATATTATTAGTGTAAAAAAATTTATACTGAAAATATATAGATAATTAACTCTTTTTATACTCGGGAGAAGTTTAGCTTTTATAAATGATTTGATTTGAACCATCAAGTGGTAGATCAACTTGCATGATGGAAGTAGTCTTGAATTCAAGTTTTTGCATACAACTGCATTAAATATTTAAAGAATAATTTTTCTATTTATAATAATCCTAATTAACTCCAAAGTTATTCTACTTTTTATATTAAAAAGTATCTATTATAACTAATGCTGTGTTTATCTGTTTTAGAACAAAAACAAACGAGGAAATGAACAATATCAAATATAACTATTGAAATAATAATCATTATGGGTTGCTTGAAATAATTCTCTTTATCTAAGAAATTTGAGTTAAGTCTTTATTTACAATATATTAAAACAACGATCCTACTAGGACTTCTGTCCGGCATCACGTTCACGTACAGAGTTCTTGTTTTCCTCAAATTTTTTTGTTGATAGGAAAACTATATTTCTCGTTAATAGAAATAGAATGTGGAAACAGGTAACTAAGAGGGATGAGGGATGATGAGACCTGCATTTGTTAATTAGGACCATCGATTGCTCCAATGGCTAATATTGATCTTGGCCAATCAAAAATCGTCACGTGTGCTTTTTAATAAAAAATGGAGTTTGATCTCTCCTTTGAGCATTCACTCACAATTAAAAGTATAACTTTACTTTTAACAGCGTTTGACAGACGACAAAAATATTATTTTTCTGAATTATGAAGATTATTTGGTTAGTCATAAATATTTTTGATAATATTTATAAAAAAAAATTGATAAATAAAATAGAATTAACAATAGTATAAAGGGTACTGTAAGCTATATATACATAGTATTTTATAAAAATAAATTAAGAAAGTTAATTCAATCCACGTCAATCTAAAAGCTCACAAAAAGAGCGACTTAATTAACTTATATTTAACAAGTTTCTCATATCCCAGAAAGCTAACAGCTAATGTGCAATATTAAGAAAGACAGATACTAGGAGAATTGGACCAAGAAAAGAAATTATAATTGAAAGAAGGAAATCTGGTCCATAACCATCTCTATGAGCGTAATTGCATGAATTATTTTAGAGTTGAATATGAGATCATTTCTTGTCAGCCAGATGGTCCAAATAACAGATAACCAGATAAGAATCCAACAACTATGATACTTCGCAGAACAATAACGAAGTCCATAAAATTGTTCCAAGTTTTGTACACAACAATTATGCATAACAGAATTTAATCCTAACCAATTGAAGCATGTCATCCAGAGCTGAAAAGAAACCTCACACTCAAAAAACAAGTGAGAAATAGTTTTTCCCTTATTCTTACACAAACCACATTCCAACTGTGATGCTTGTAGAACACATCTTCTAAACAAATTATCTTTAATTGAGATTCTATTCAAAATAACCCTCCAAGCAAAAGCTGAAACTTTCGTTGGAGCAATGCTAGTCCATATCCACCGAAATATGACATTAGATGCAAATATTATGTCATTCCTCAAGACCTTATAAGCCAAGCTAATTGTATACACCCCTTTTGGAGCAGCAATCCATGATCATTTATCTTCATCAGAAACAATGAATTTCGTACAATTGATAAAATTAACAAGAGTATTCAAAAGTTGGTGCTCCCAGACCAATAATCTTCTTCTTCAGCTCCACTTCCATTTAGCCACACCCCCCTCCCATTTAGAAATTTCAGCAATATAAGCATTTTTATTAATTGCTATTTGATATAATCGACTAAACCTATGAGCTAGAATTCCATGACCCACCCATTTATCCAACCAAAACCTAGTGTCTACCCTATTTCCAATGACTTTAGAGCAATTACTGGACAACCACTCATTACTCACCAAATTCCCATCTTCAATTCTATTTAAATCTACCCACCACCTTGAACCCTTTACACCACTCCCATTTGGCAAATGTAAAGCGACATCGTATAATGAACTAATAACTCTCACCCAAAGACTATTTTTCTCCACTAACATTCTCCAATGCCATTTTCAAAAGTGCTAAATTAAAGGTCGACAAATCTTTAATCCCCAACCCACCATGGATTTTGTCTCTACACACAACATCCCAAGCTACCCAATTTATTTTCCTGTTATCTTGATCCCCACCCCATAAAAAATATTTAAACAAAGATTCAATGGAAGAGATGATACCTTTGGGAGCCTTGAAGAAGGAAAGAAAATAAATCGGGATGGAGTGTAGGACGAACTTTAGGAGAGCAATTCTACCACCAAAGGATAGAGTTGTACACTTCCATCGAGAGAGACGTTTTTTAACATTTTCAATGACTGGATACCAAGTAGAAATCATCCTATAATTTGCCCCAATAGGTAACCCAAGGTAGGAGAAAGGAGTGGAACCTACCCGACAATGTAAAATAGAAGCCATTATTTGCAACCATTGTGACTCTACGTTATACCCCATGAGCGTGCTTTTGGAAAAGTTAACCTTCAAACCTGATGCAAGTTCAAACAACCTTAAAATTGATTTGATGGTCCATATATTTGAATAAGAAGGATTCCCCATAATGAGAGTATCATCAACATATTGCAAGATATCAACCGGTACTTTATCCTTACCCACTAAACACCCTTTAAACCTTTCTAACTGGCTGGCTTTATTGAACAACATGAATAGGCCTTCTGCTACAATCAAAAACAAGAAAGGAGCCAATGGATCTCCTTGACGCAACCCCTTCGATACACTGAATTCTTCTATTAGGCTACCATTTACTAATATAGACATTCTAGATGTTTTTAGGCATTCCGCAATCCAGGTACACCATAAAGTAGGAAATCCCATCTTACACATCACAAATTGTAGACAGTACCAACTCACAGAGTCGTAGGCCTTTTCGAAATCAACCTTGAACATTATACATTTTCTCTTCTTCCTCCTTACTTCCTTCACCACCTCATTAGCCACCAGAATGCTATCCAAAATATGTCTTCCTTTAATAAAGGTTGATTGACAATCAGATATAACACTAGCAATTACCATTCGCAATCTATTAGCAAGAATTTTGGACAAAACTTTATAAAGGCAACCAATAAGAGAGATTGGTCTAAATCTAAACTCCTCAATACGTTCAGGACAATCTTTCTTCGGAACCAAGACAATGAATGAATTGTTTAATCCTCTTACCAACCTACCATTGGAATGGAAATCATTAATAAACAACATAAATCATCATGTAGCATATCCCAAAAGTCCTTAATAAAGTGGAAGTTAATGTCATCCGACCCTGGACTCTTATTACTTTCATAATCCCAGACTACCTCTTTAACTTCTTGCAATGTGAAAGGCTTAATTAACACATCAACCTGATCTGAATTTAATCTCTTAAACACCAACCCATTTAACACTGGGCATTGCCATTGAGATTGTGAAAATTGTTTATCAAAATGCTCTTTTACATATTGTTTAATAAGGGCAGGTTCTGAAATTCTACAGTCCCTAAAATTTAAGCATCTGATTTCATTTAACTTCAATCTTTTGTTAATGCATCTGTGAAAGTACTTGGTATTTGCATCCGCTTCTTGAAGCCACTTCAGCCTTGACTTTTAGAACAAGAGAGTATCCTTCTTTTGCATTAGCATTTGCCACTGTGCCATATATTCCTTCCTTTGTACCACTTCAGAGGGTGATAAGCCAGACTCTTCATCTTTAATATCACATTGTTTTATCCCATCTTGAACTTTCGAAATCTTTAGATTTAGATCACCGAACACTTCCTTATTCCAGATTTTAAGCTTACTCATTATTGTCTTCAACTTTTCCTTTAGAATATTATATATATAATGGTGGATCAATTATAATAGTTTGTACAAGAATTAAAATTTT